ATTTTATTCACTAAAATTACATTCTAGAACGTCAAACTTTACTTATTTTAAAGACATTATCTATGCACAACCTTCCAATTCGCCAATTCCAATGACATAGACTTTATAAAAGCTGATTTTTTTTATTTTTTATTTTTTTTCATTCATATGTACATCATTATTTACATTGTGTTATGTGATAGTACACCATTTGAAAGTTTTAAAAAAAAAAATACGTTTTTCGTCCACAATTTGTTGAAAACAAAGAGAATGTCAAAATAAATAAAAAAATAATAATAAATGTACATTTAATATTGTTGTTTTACACTTAACCATGCCTAACACATGCATGTACCATAATTGGTGCAAGAAATCTTTAAAAATGGATGCCATGTGTCCATGTATTAATTGGACCAAAATCCTATCACTCTTTGTTTAAAATAATAGTTCATCGAAATTTTTTGCATGACTCATTTTTTGCAAGATCGTGAAGCAAACTTTCCAATGAACTTTGAATCATCAAAAATGAATATATTCAGCTTCTAAAAATCGCGTCCGAACCAAAACACATTAATAATATTAAAATACTACAATTACTTATCATTCTACAATTATTACAATAATAACTGTTATATAGGTAGGTTATCCCTATCCCACCATTTGGTATTACCACCCTAAATCTAGAGTATTAACATCCCACCAACATAAAATTTTCATAAGATGTTACCATGAATTTTTGGGGTGTTACGTTCTTGGTCTATGAAGGAAATAAAATAAGAGTTCAAGGATACACTGATCCTAACTTTCCATCTCATAAAGACGATAGCAAATCCCAGTCTAAATATATATTTACTCTAAATGGAGAAGCGATTAGTTGGAAGAGTTTTAATTAAGACACGACCACTAATTCAACAACTGAAGTCGAATACATACTTCATATGCAGTAAAGGAAGATATCTACATCAAGAGTTTATCACCTTGGAGTGATTCTTAGCATCATTGATCCAATAAATAATAATGGAGTCATTGCACGAGCAAAAGAACTTAGGTCTCATGAGTGATCTAAATACATATAGAGGTGGTATCATCTCATTAGGGAGATTATACAAAAGACGATATAAAGATAGAACGGGTTTCTTGTAGACAATAATATAGCAAATAGTTTGGCGAAGTTCTCCTACTAGACAATGCATTACGGTCATGTAAATTTTATTGGTATTAGATACATTAGTTCTTTAGTCTAGTTTGAGTGGTATTTTTAGTTATATACTATGTTCAACATTGTGTAGTGTATACACTTTTTTCTTATTAATGCATTTACATTTATGACATATGATATATTTAAGATATTTAATTATTTAATTAAATTAATGGAGCCGAATGTTAAGTTATGATCGTTTATAATTACATAATTTGTGATTGTTAGATGTAAATTATGACTAAATTACTAATAAATTGTCCCTCATTATCTATGACTACGAGATATAAATATCTTAACTATGGAAAGACCATCATGTATTGTATTAATTTCTTGTGAAAAGAGTAATTGATCTCACAAGGTAAAATATGGAGACATTTGAATGAATATGTGAATGAGTTGTTATAGATTAGTTCAATGGACGATTTATAATAAAGATTTTGTATGGAAAGCTATCTTAGCTTCAGTGAAATTTCTAAGTGTTCGATATTGCATTTTGCCCTTTTATGTGATGTTATTATAGAAATTTATGTGAGGACCGACACATTTGTTGATGTTGGATGTACTTTGTATAATGTAATTAGAACGGTAGTATAATGTAACTAGAACGGTAGTATGCGGGTTGTGTCTTGAATAATATGAAGTTGATGAATGACCAATACATGATTCAGTACTCTCACAAATTATAATTTTTATAAGTCACAGATTATTTTACGGTCACAGTTCAAAAATTTTGTAGGTCACAATTAATTCGTTGGTTACAAATTTCAAAATTAGTTGGTCACAAATCAAATTTTATAGGTCACACGGTCATAAATTTCAAAATTAGTTGGTCACAAATCAAAATTTATAGGTCAGACGATCACAAATTTCAAAATTAGTTGGTCACATATTTTTTCAAGGTCACAGATTGTAAAATTTTTATGTCACAGATAACAAAATGATTGGTCACGGATTATATTTTATTCACAGATTACCGAATTTTAGTCATAGAACTTGTTGCTGGTGGTGGTGGTGTTGAGTTGGTAGTACTGAAGGTGTCATTGTTGCATTTGATGAAGATTGTAAAACTAAATTTCCACCATAACCATAACCAGCACCGCTTTCACTACCACCTCAACAACACCACCACTACCACCTGTAAAAACCATCCACAAAACCGCATCCCAAATCATAGTACAAGCACCGCCGTCAACACCACCTAAAAAACACAACCACTACCACCTGCAAAAACCATCCACAAAACCTATCCCAAGTCACTGTACAACCATCGACACCACACCGTCACCCCACAACCACACTAACACTCAAACCCACCATCATCGAGCCAAAGTTTTCTGATAAACCACAACAGCCATTTTCAAAAAATGAATCTCAGTATAAAGTACTAATTGTAGGCCTAAAACTCATCACACTGATCATCTAAAAAAAAATAGAGCAACAATAAAATTTTCTTACAAATCAAATTTTTATGTTTCAATCAATATTCATCTGCAAGGTTAAGGAAAGAACAATCAGACGAAGGCATTTGAAAACTGCGTCTGCTGGTGGCATTCGAGCAGTGAGCACCCAGCGCCGCTTCGAGCAGTGAGAACCACTGCGTCTGCTGGTGGCATTCGGACATTGAGAAGAGAGCACCACTGCACCACTGCTTCACCCACTTTTTGAGAAGAGAGGCGACGGGAGAAACGAGAGAGAGATAGGCGACAGGTAGAGAGAGGGTAGAGAGAGAAAGAGGGAGATGAGAGTGATATTTGATTTCTAGGGTTTTTTGGTGAAATTTGTATATAAATATTTAATATTTAAAATATCAAATACCTGATTTTTGAACAATAAAACATTTACCTTGATTTTTGAACATGGAACTTGAAATGTAGGGTTCCATGTAATTTCCTCTTAATTTGATTGCTTTACAGATGCTTTAGATTATTGTTTGAAATATTACTGTTCTAGATATCATGACATATAGATTTATTTATGACATTATCCGTGATACTATGAATATGATGCATATCATTGAACACTGATTATTGTTTGATTAATTTAATTTAGATGAAATTTTTCTAGATGGAAAATCGTAATAATTAAATTGTATATTAATTTGATTAATGTGAACGGTTGATAATTATTTAAAATTTCCTATATTGATTTAATTTAGATTAATTTTTTATGGAAGGAAAAATTGTATTAATTAAACTATATATTAATTTGATTAATGTAACAATTGGTAATGATTTATGATTAAAATCCATTACTTTTAAAATATTTAGTGGGAATGGGTGTTTATTTAAATAAAAACACATGGTCTTCTTTGGTCTATCCTATATGAGGGCCGCGTTGTTCGAGTTGTTTGATTGGATTTCTTTATGATAAGATCATCTGAATAGAATATAATTTGTGATCATCCTATAGATGACAAAATTATTTTTAAGTATCTAAAGATCGAGACAAATATAATACACTCAAATCGAGATCATCTACGAACCTCTTATAAAGGTTCTCGTTTATAATTTTAGCAATCAAATATAATGATACTAGACTTCTATAGACGTTTCAGTAGACACAATGACCTTTCCTATAGAGCGGCATGTTGGATCACAAAAATCAAGCAGTCGTTGTGCGGTGATTTAAATTCCACTTAATTGTCATGTATTTAATCTAAATCCCTCGACAATGTTATTTATATCTTTTCAAGAATTTAATGGTTCTTTG